CCCTGGGCCGCGCCCGAGCCCGGGGGGAAGGAAGGGCGGCGCTGCCCGCTCCGGGCGTCACAGGCTGCAGCCCGCAGCGCCGCTTCCAAAACCTACAGCCGGGCTCAGGGGCGAGCCGAGTCGGAGCGAGGGACCGGGGCGGCCGCGCAGCCATCAATCACCGGCTCGGGCGGGAAGGGCGGCCCTGGGCGCGGCGGGAAGGAAGGGCAGGGCCGCGCGCGCTCAACTCGGACGGGAGGACGCGCAGCCGAGGCGCGCTGGTGGACGAGCGGGCCGGACAGGGACCGGGTGCAGAACCGACCCGGGAGAGTAGGCGCGGCGGCGGCACCGAAGCGGGCCGAGCTTGAGAAGATCCGAGTGTCCACCCGGGGGCCGTCGCCATCCTGTAGGCGCGCCGTGTCTATGTGCCCTGGGGCGCCAGGTCCCCCTAGGCGGCGACCGCCCCCCCCCGGGGGGGGCGGCGCCCTCTGACTTTTCGCTGTGATCCCAGAGACCCTGGAAGCCTGCACCTCCCGCGGGCCCAGCACTCCTGAAAATGAAAACTTGGCAAACTTCACAGTCAGATCCTCCTACCCAGAGCGAGAGCTCGGGCTGGCCTAGGGCTCAGCCCGGCGACCTTTCGTTTCTTGCTGCTTCCCCGGGGGATGGAGCGCGAGCGCGCAGTGGCCTTCGTTCACTGTCAGGGCGCGGGGCGGCGGGAAAGGCCAGGCCCCTCCTAGGACTTTGTATAGCTCAGTGCTAGTTTGGTGCCCCCTCTTAAAGTTTCTTTTTAAACAGTATTAATGTAATAAGGAATGCAATAAAAAGAACAAAGCACAAATCGGTTCAATTGTTTTAGTCCTGGGTAATGTTTTAAAGCACCTCTGCTGCAGTCTATAGCTTGTTATTGCTTCAAGATGTTTTAAAGGCCTTTTGAGTTCACCATCCTCACTTTGATGCTTGGTCCAGGCGTGGTGCTACTTAAAACGTAGTGATCCGTGTATTTCCAGCCCCTTCATGTTAAGCAGTGTTATAAAAATTAGTACTCGGTAACCTCAAGCAGTGAAATTGCATTCTGTAAGGCACGCACATGAAAGAGCACGTGGAGGACACCCAGAACGGACACGATCTGCTGTCCCATATAATTTTTAAAATGTACAGGGTGAGAGTTTTTTTTTTAATAAAAGATATCAGAAAAAAGTTGGATTTTTGTGGCTTGCTAATTGGAGTTCATTGATCACCGACCATTAAATGCCTGCTTGGGTCCCTTGTATTAGTTGAAATACCATGTTTGTGATGACAGAATTTTGACCACGTTAGTGTCTGTCGCACAGTAAGTGCTCAAAACTTTGGGGTTTCGCCCAGGGAATGAGGAGTGATGAAAACTTGATGTCCCCAAACCATGGTTTTGTTCCAGTGTTCATGTGAGAAGCACCCAGAGAAGAGTAAAATAGGTCTGGTGGAGAAAAATATGACCCAAGATAAGAACGGTGTGGCTGTGATGTGAAAGGGGAGGAAAGATGAAAGGCCATTTAAGAAAAGTTAAGGAGCACACTGTGTTCAACGAAACTTGTGTAAAAATGCAGCCATCCAGGACCAGCATCCGGTGGCTTGATGAGGGAAATGAGCATCCTTACCGGTGGCCAAACCAGAACTGCCTGAAGCCACCTGTGGCTCCTCCCCAACCCAAACAGGGCACAGCCTATCTGTCATTCCCTGAATCCTCCTGGGTCACTACCCACTCCTTGGCCACTGCCCTCCCTGGTCCACCCTGCTGCCCCAGTGCCTTGTTGGTCATCCCATCGGTGGTGTGGCTGATGGGTGAGAAAGAGAGGGGACCAAGGAAGTAAAAGTGCTTCTCAAAATGCAGATTGACTTCCCACTCCTGCAGACCTGGCCTCCTGCTGTCATTATAGACTCCTTTCTCCCTGTTCTCCCTTTCTACTCTGCAGCAATGCTGAGCTTCAGCCCTTTTATCTGGCTCACTTCCCCACCCCAGGCCCTTTGCGCATTCACATTTTTCTAGGTTGAAAAGCCTCCCTATCTTTTCTCCCAACCCCTGACCTCCACTCTCATGTCCTTAAGTCCCACTAAGTCTTGATTTATATGACACTTTCTCCAAAATATATCTTCTTTTCCGCCATCCTCACCCCACCTGGATGAGTTGAAGTGTTCCTTCTTGGTGCTCCGTAGCACTTGGGTTTCACCTCTTGTGATACTTTTCATTCTTTTAAGTATTTAATAATCTCTTTATGGCAGAAGAATGGAGGGATTGTGAGGACAGAGACTGTGTATTATTAGCAAAGTCACATTTCAGGGGTTCAGTGGATGATTGCGTGTCAAAGGAATAAGGGGGCTGTATGAACTGGGAAGAAGGGAAAGTTGTCCCGAGGTGGAGATGGGAGGAGGTTTTGGAAATGCTAGTGGCCAGAAACTGTGCCTAGGTAAATCCCAGGGATTGGACATGGTGAGCAGAGAGAGCGCACTGCCCTCGCTGAACTTCCTTAAGCAGCAGTGAGATGGTGAAAGTGGAGCCTCAGTTTTCCTTTTATCCCTAACAGTAGCATAGTGCCTGGCACACTTGTGGTCAGGGAATCTTGGGTTAGAGAAGTATCGCTGGATTAGCCCTGGGGGCAGTTGCTTTACCTTTGTTCCTTGCTGAGGGCAAGCTGGTCTAGTTTAGGTTCAGAGCAGCAGATTTGGGGTAAGGATTCCCCTTCCTGGTTTCTGCTGAGCCGTTGTTGCTCGCAGCCAATCATTGCAATCCTAGTCAACATGTATGATTGAGTTCTGGTAACTGGACATGAAGGAAAGTGTGTGTTAAGGTTTGGATTGAAGATGTATCCTTGGAGGTGAGACTTTTAGAAAGTGATTGGATCAAGGGCTAAGCATCAGTAGATTAATCCAGCAATGGATGCATAATTTTATGGCATTATTAGGCGGTGATGGAAACTTAGGTGGTGGGGCCTAGCTGAGGAGGGAGTGAGTCTTGGGGGCACGACTTTGGAGACCGTGTCTCGTCAACTCTGGCTCACTGTGTTTCCAGCTGCTGTGAGGTGAGGAACTTTGTTCTGCTGCACCCTTCCACCATAATGCTCTGCCTCACCACAGGTCCAAGGACAACAGAGCCATGGTGCCATGGACTGAAACCTCTAAACTGTAAGCCAAAATAAACATTTTCATCCTTTAAGTTCTTTTTATCAGACATTTTGTCATAGCAACAAAAAGTTGAATAACACATTATGCTAGAGGATTATGGGAAATAATTTTATTCCTCTTAACAGGAAACCCCCAGACCTACTTTGGAAGTTGTGATGTGGGGATGTGATGCTTAAATTTGTGGCAGCCATCTTATGATCATGAGGGGATAGTTAACACTTCAGATTTCTGTATGGATAATTCTTTTCTCTCCAATTAGATTTCAGCTCAATTATTACCTCTTGCAGGGATGACTGCCCTGACAACACAAACTAAAATACTACCCCCTTCTCCAATCGCTAATATTATCCTATTTTACTTTCTTTTTGAAATATACCATTAACTAAAATTACTGTGTTCTCTTCTTTTAAAAATATATTTATTAATTTTTTTTCTACTTAGAATGTGAGAGCAGAGAGATTCTATTTCGCTCTTCTTTTCTCAACTCCTAGAACAATATCTATCAAAAGAAAGGTGTGCCATAAGTATTCATTGATTTGTAGATGACACCTAAATGACCACAAGACAATGACACCATGAAGCTTGAAAATTGAGGCTGATTTGGAGCCTGGTGGGTACAAGCCACTACAAGTCACCACTTGCTCTTTTAGGCTTATATCACAGTTCCATCTTAGGCAATTCTAATGTAGGGATAGATATTCTTCCCTATATACTTTAGAACTTTTCTGTTTGCACCCTAGTTAATATTTCTTCTCCTCATTTGATTATACACAAAGTCACAAAAGCAGAAAATTGTCATGTGGTTGTGAAATTCTGAGCAGCACAGATACCCATACCTTCAAGGAAAGAAAATTGTATGTTTGAAGTAAAATTGGAAACACTAGGTTATCCATTTCTGAAGCATTAGACAGGAATCTCTTTAGCATCTCTACAAGTTCCGCTTAGCCATCTCTGTGTCCATGCATTCATCCACCCAGTTTAGAATTGCACGGAACTAGGGAGGCTGAATTAGAAGATTGATGAACTGATGAAGATCAAACTAGGTGTATGATCCCCCCCACCATGCCCCACCTAGGAGTGTTCAGCATGTCTAGTGCAGGTGGATAATTTTCCAGGATTGTGTTTGGCAGAACCATTGCATCCAAGGACTAAAGCACAAAAACAGTTGAAATGCTAGATCTTGGAGCCTATGTTGGAAAGGTAAATCAGAAGGAGGCTCCAGAGAGAAAGCCAAGGGACAGGTCATCTGGACATTCTAAATAGTTGAGGAATGGGTGTGTTGGAAATAACATCCTGAGTGTCCTGGAAGGTTTGAGGTGAGTTGTCAGAGCAGTGTGGGGATATCTAGAGGTGAAGCAGTCCCGGGGGACAGTATCGTCCAGGCATCACCTGTGGAAGTGAGAGCTAGAGGGCAGCTGTGAAGATCTCTGAAGATGAGGAAGGAAGGAGAAAAATGAGTGGGGTGCTCAATGTGGTTCCACGTGGATCCTGAAATCACACAGAACTCCGCCAGAAGGAAGCCAGCGTAAATCTTCAGTCCTCAGACCACGTATTCATTCCAAAAGAAAAAGACATCAAGAAACTGATGGATGGTGGCAACTAGGAGAAAAATGAATGGAAGATCTGCTTTCCCTGAGTCATGATCAAGTAAAAAGTAATCACTTGTATTCAGTTATTGATTATTTTTGTGTAGTATATACCAATAGCTTCTTTTTTACTTTTTATTACAAACACACTTTCTGTATCATTGAGAGTTTAAATCAGCTCTTTGGAATCTGACAGATCTTAAAGCATTATGTATAATATTATTTCAAAGGGAAGTGGTTTATAATTTTCAAATCAATGCTGAACTGAGGGCTGTCTTGGTTTGGTTTTCTGTAGCTGTAATTGTGTACCACAGACTGGGTGCTACAGTTTGGATGTATTTTGTTCCACAAGGATTTCAGTGTTGGAAGTTTGGTCTCCAGTGTGACAATGTTAAGAGATGCGACCTTTGAAAGCTAGGGCCTAGTGGTCCATAGCTCGCTAGAGGTTAGCCCTCAGATGGGATCAAAGCAGTTCTCTTGGGACCCTAAATTAGTTCTCATAAGACAGTTAAACAGATAAAAAATTTTACTGGTTCAATACTCATATGAGTATTCATGTTGTGTTTAAAGTATTTTCTGAGGACAATACCACAGCCTCAGTGAGAAAGATATAAAGAAAAGAAGTGTATTTTGGCTCACAATCTAGTCCAAGGTGGAGGGGCCACATCTGGCAATGACCTTTTTTATTGGCAGAGTCTCAAGGTGCTTCAGGGCATTCCTTGGCAAATGATGGAGCACATGTGTCTGTCTCTTCTGGTCTCTCTCCCTCTTCTTATAAAGCCACCAGGACTCAATCCTGATGATCTCATCAAATTCTAATCACTTTTCAAGGTTTCACCTCTGAACACCAGAGTGGGTTTGTTTCCACCCTCTTAATGTACCATGATGGGGATGAAATTTTGACCCATGAATCCTGGAGGGAGACATTTAAACCATATCCAAACCATAGCATAAACTTTGATCTTTGTCTTCAAGGCTCTTACAGTCTTGCAAATGAAATCATACCAGATCAGAAAATCCTCAAAATTCTTCATGAGGGAGGGGATATCTGTGTTTAAACTCCATTGAAGGAGGAGGAAGGGACTGCAGGTCCCAGCTTGGGGATCTGAAAAGGTGACAGGAGCAGAGGGGTCAGTGAGACCATGGGCTTCTCAGGAGTGGTGTGACACAGGCTAGGACAGGTCAACGGATGCCATGTTATGGAGAAAATTGGAAATTGATGTTGTTAAACTATGGACAGTTTCTGAACAGGTGAGTTGCATGATATCATATAAAAATGACATTAAATATAACTTTAATGTGAAGTTCCTCAGTGCAAAGCAGAGAGCAGCAACTGTTATACATGTGCCAGTGGGTGAAATAAACACAGATATCTGATTCTTGAGTTCCAGTGGAATTACATACCCATTACTCATCATTGAAGCTTCATTGAATTCGCCTGTAACAGTTAATCTTGAGTGTCCACCAAATTGGCTTGAGAAATGCCTAGGAAACTAGTAAACACACTTCTGGGTGTGTCTGTGAGGATGTTTCCAGAGACCATTGGCACATGGGACAGCGAAGTGAGTAGAGAGACCTGCCTTGAAGATGAGTGGCACCATCCAATAGGCTGGGAGCCTAGATGGAACAGAAGCAGAGAAGAAAGGAGCTTTCTCTCTCTCAGCATCCCCATTGCCATGAGGTGAGCAGCTTTCCTCTACCATGCCCTTCCACACTGATGTTTTTGTCTTACCTTAGGCCTAGAAGCAGTGGAGCCAAGTGACCATGGACTGAAACATCTGAAACCATGAGCCAGAATAAGCCTTTGCTCCATTAAGTTGATGTTCCCAAGTATTTTGTTATAGTGATGAGCAGTCTATTGAACATTATAGCTTAGTCCCACAGTCCACCATAGAGTATTGGCTGTTCACCTTCACGACTGCATAGCTGGCTGTCAGATGCCACCACTGCCACTGCCCAGCGACACCAGTGTATCCCCCTGTACATCATTAGCCAGGACAAGATCAAAATTCAAAATCTGTAGTATGGTTTCTACTCAATGTGTATCACATTTTTACTATTATAAAGTGGAAAAATAATAAAGTCAAACTACTATAAGTCAGGAACAGTTTGCATATGTCTACATGTATATACACATACACCATCTCTTGTTTACTTCATACACACACACACTTCTCCCTCAGTGACTAAGCCAGCAGAGACAGTATGTGAAACACACTCAAGGAACCTGGTCTTTGTCATATTGCTTTTTCCCAGTGTGCTGTGTGACTGCACCTCCCAAGCCATCAGCCTGAAGCATTTCCCTCTGTGACAGATGTAGTCACACAGGATTCCTGGTCCTTGGATTCTAAGAGGACTTCAACCTTTTATTCCTCAGATTCCCACCCTGCCTAGTTGGTCCATGTACAAATGCTTTGGAGGTTTTGCGGATCTGTCCATGAAAACAATCACATATTGTTGTACTTAGCAACAGTGGAGAAGTCTTCATCAGCCTTGGAATTTAAAAAAAATGTTAACAAGAAAATGTGAAAATGATAATAATGATTTGATATTTTTTTCTTTGCCCTTTTTTAACAGTCTTCTCTATGTGTCTCTTTCTTTGATGAACATGTATTACTTTGGAAAAATAGCTAGAAAGAAATGGGCAAGTTGTGCATAATTAAATGCAGGACCTCAAGTAGAAGTATGCAAGGTGGCCTGTTGAAGGTTCCCTGACTCAGAGGTAGATTCTCTGCTTAGGAGCATGGCAGAGGGGTGGGGGTGGGGGGGTGGGGCTCTAGGGAGTAAGGGCATTAAGAGGAGATGAACATATTTTATGATTCTTTGGGATTTTAACAACAGCCACGTGAATAGCTGGACCTGTGTAACTTATGGAACTAGAATTCTTCCTCAAAATAATATGCTTTTACTTGAAAACCTCTCCAAAGAGATAAAGCTAAAACCAGAAGAGCCAGCAAACTAAACTCAATAGAACCCAAGTTCCTATTTCTCAAGACAGAGACGTTACTTCCTGGAGCACAAGTTCACTCCTCTCTCCCATGGTCCTTTGCCAGGATATATTGAGTTCAAGGCCAACAGCAGAGTCAGCGGCCAGAGATGTGCGTGACACAGAGCTGACCTTCAGCACCCCCCCCCCCAACACCAAGAATACGTCTGGTGTATGGCCTCACCTGTTGCTCTCCATTTCCTCCTAAGTGACATTTGTCTGTCTGTTATTGTTCTGAAGGTTTTCTGGGTAACTATAAGCAACAGACCTTGTTAGTTCCTCTTGAGATTGCCCACTACTCCCCACCCTTACTTCTCACCTCCCAGCATCCTGTTTGTCTCCCTGACTGTTCCCCGCCCTATCCCCACCCCCATTCAGCTGCCAGTCCTTTGAGCCCTCAGTAAATTAATTTTAACGTTTAATTTTTA